ATTGGAAGACTACTCTCAGGGTAAAGCAAGGAGGCATTCAAGAAAGAAACCTGTTGAAACTAGGCAGAGAAGAGCCGGCTGGAACAAAAGAGAACTTGGAAAGAGGAAAAGCATTGTAATGGGAAGATTCCACCAACAAATGCACTCACTACTTCTAAATCAGCCCAGAAGTACCAACCATAGGGATTCAGAAGCCGTCTTTATGTGAAAGAGAAATATGCTTTATAGAATTTCAAGCATGAGAGGCAGCTAAGGAGGATTCACAAGAGCTGAAGAGGACCCTCAAGTAGAGTTAAGTAGGGCTTCAGAACTATTATCTGCACTGCTTTACTTTTAATGGCAGGTTTATTTATTTTATTTTTTTTGCAGTGGTTTGACGTTGCCTTCTTCCTGGGGAGGAGAGAAAGTGACTGGGCCAAAGTCACTCAGTTGCCTTCATACCTAAGGCAAGACTAGAACTCCTGGTCTTTGGGATTTACCTGGGTGCCTTAACTACTATGCCATCTCTACTAACTGATATTAGTATTTGTTTTACTATTTCATTCATTATTTACTTGTGTTCCAGGAAATAGCCTGGCCTGCTAAAGAAAACAGATAGTTGATGACGTATGTTTTAAGACTGTGAGAGTCTATGAGAGTGAGCAACTCAGAGGCCGACAAATATGTGTGTGGCTCCCAAGCTTCATTTTGCAGCCTGTGTGGCTCTAGAAAAGAAGTGTCCAACCTTGGCAACTTTTAAGACTTGTGGGCTTCAACTCCCAGAATTCCCCAGCCAGCATGCTCTAGAAAATATGTTCTTGAATATTGTCAACAACCTGTCAAGTAATGAATGTGTGATTTTTCTACTGGACTGGGGAAAATAATTGGATATTGTCTGTGAGTGGTTGAATAGGCCCAACTCATTCCCTTCATAATCAAAGAAAAATATCTCAACATGCCTATCTCAAAATGTTGCACATTGCAGGAATGTCACCAAGTTACAGTTCTTGTTCTGTCCCAGCCTACGTGAGTCCTTGTTATGCTCACAAGGAGAAACCCCTCTTCCAACAAGCAGGCAGAAACCACAAGAAAAAAACCAACCCCTTTTATTCTCACAGACCTGAGTCAATATCCAAGGCAAACAAACACAGTTCACAGAAACTTGATCCTCAACACAAACAGTTGCCTTTGGCAACCAGCACCTCCCACACCTTCCCTTTTATAATTCAGCCAAGGCGTGGCTTCCTAATGCCTTCTCCTTTGCCTTTGGAGCCGCCCCATTGCATTCCTCTGTTCTACTCACTTCTCTTGCCTACACCTTCATGCATCCTGAATTTTTCCCAACTGTTCTTCATCACTGTCCAACTCGGGCTCCCAGCACAGCTGTGTCTCAACCTGAGCGCGAGTAGAGGGGCCAGACTCCTCGTCCAACTGTACGTCTTGGAGCTCCTCAGAGCCTTCCTCTGACTCTAATGTCACTCCAGGTCCCTTCTCCCCATCTGATTCCTCAGACCCAGCTGCTGTATCCACAGGCTGGTGAGGAATCACAACAGTTCTCTCCTTTGTGGCCCTCAGCAACCTCCCTAAAATATATTTAAAAATATGCCCCTCTCCCCCTCTCTCAGTCATCAAAAAAATCCCTTGATTTGAGAGAATCCAAAGGAGAGAGACTACATTTTTGTGTCTATTCTGAGATATTTAAATACGATATTTCTTTTCAGCAATACAGTAATTTGAATATGAATATGAGAGGTTGCATTGAAAAAAAAACAGATGAGAAAATTTCACTAACTAACTCTGGAAACGTTTTATAGTCTTTATTATTTCATTGCCAGTGTAGCATCCTTAACCTTGTATTGATTGAGGTCACATATCTCCACATTTTTATGAGGGCTGGAGATTTGTATAAAAGCCGTTCCTTTAGGAATTCAAGTATTGTAATAGATTCCATGAATGTAATATTGTGGATGAATAGATTTGATTAAAACGAATGGATCCAAACTATGTGCCTGCTTCAGAAAAAAAAAACATATTCAGACAATAAGAAGACTGCTTTTTTTAAAAAAAATGGTTAATGTTTATATGCCAAAGAGCTGGCTATTATTTTTCATATATGTTGGAAACTGGCTCATTCCTGTCTTTTCTCCAGTCCGTGTGCTGCCATCCAAGCTGAATTGTGGAAATAACTTCATGAAAATGCATTTGCTCTGAAATCATCAAAAGAGTTGTGTTCCTGCTGATTTTAAAAGATTCTGACAACAAAGAGCAAGTTTCTAGCATTTCTTTCCCAGAGGGAATGGTGCGACACCAAGGCAATTTGAATCTATTTTTTAATTGTTAAAAAAAAAACTTAGTTCTCAAGGAGATGGTAAACAAAATATTTTCAAGACGGCAAGCAGATGTTGCTTTTTACCGATGATTTGTTTGTGGAGGTTTAAAAATATTTCATGAGATCATTGTTCTTCATTTTCCACCGAATACAGCTAACGGCTTTAAGATATTGATAAAAGAGAATATTTATAGCTCAAGATTGAAATGTGAGGTTCTTGGTGTTCCCTGAGCTTGGTAGTTTTCTTGCAGACATTTCACTACCCAAACTAGGTAACTTCATCAGTGCTAGTAGAGAGTGAGGTTTGACCTCTTAAGACAGTGGTGGCGAACCTATGGCATGGGTGCCAGAGGCGGCACTCAGAGCCCTCTCTGTGGGCACGTGCACCGTTGCCCCAATCCTAGGCCTTCAGCTGGGTTTTATAAAACCTTTTCACTTTAGGCCTCCGCCGCCATGTGCAAAAAACAAAAAGGTTCAATCAATTAGTCAATTTCAACTTCTCATGGGGAAAAAAAGATCTTGCAAAGTTGGAATTGATTGATTGAACTTTTTAGTCCCACCCAGTCTGCCGTTACCACCGCAGCCACGCCTACCCAATGGGCCACACCCAGCCAATGGGCCACACCCAGCCAATGGGCCACACCCACCCGGCACCCGACAATGCATAAGTGGGTTTTGGGTTGCAGTTTGTGCACTCAGTCTCTAAAAGGTTCGCCATCACTGTCTTAAGATATTGCTGTTCTACAAGTTTCAGTAGATTGATTTCCAAATTTCCATTGTTATGGAAGCTTGTAAATTAGTTCAAATGCTTTTTTCCCCCTTCAGATTGGCATACCATGGGGAACATTTTGCTGTAGGTTTTTAGGATTGGATTCTTTTGGATAAAATTTTGCTAGAAGAGGGATATCACTACCACTGGTGGTAGGACCTAAACTGGTGAGTGTATGTGATTCTTTCTCTTTTCCCCGTGTTTGTCCAGCATGTAGCTGTGAGACAGACAGGGTTCTTGTAAGATCCCTGCAATGATTACTTGTAGAAGTGAAATTAAACTGCGAGCAACAGGTTCTCTGACATAGAAGGATGGAACTGGACTCGGTATCAGTGCAATCCTATGTATATTAACTTAAATATATTTTCCATTTACAGCTTTCTGTTCAGTTTGCTTGTTAACAACACTCACAGGCCTCCCCGATCCATACAAACTTTGGGCAGCAAACAACAATTTCAAAGTGCAAACATTACAAATGATGGCCTCCCAAGCAAAAAGAAAACTACCAGTGATGGCCTCCCAAGCACAGTTACGGAATCAAAGCCTGCTGAAATAATACAACTTTACCTCGCTTCCAAAAAGCAAGAGGGTTGTTTAGGCTAGGTTGAGAGAGATTTACTCAAGGCCATTATGAGCTGTGCCTCACCTGGCAGAAAACAGGCCTGGTGTGACATGTCCTGTCCCCAGTGGTAATTCTCTCTTGCCCCTAATAACAAAGCACAGTGTCAGTCACCTAACCCTTCTCCAGGGCAATGAATGAGAAAGCTTACAGATTTCGTACACCTTAAAACAGCCCCTGGATGATGTTGGCATAAATAATTTTTTTAAAAAAAAACAGCCGAGGAGGAGTTAGAGTTAATAATAATAATAATAATAATAATAATAATAATAATAATAATAATAATAATTTGGAAGGGACCTTGGAGGTCATCTAGTCCAACCCCCTGCTCAGGCAGGAAACTCTATACCATTTCAGACAAATGGCTGTCCAGTCTCTTCTTAAAAACTTCCAGTGTTGGAGCATTCACCACTTCTGGAGGCAGGTTGTTCCACTGGTTAATTGTTCTGTCAGGAAGTTTCTCCTTAGTTCTAGGTTGCTTCTCTCCTTGATTAGTTTCCATCCGTTGCTTCTTGTCCTGCCTTCAGGCTCTCTCTTCTTTGTGTCAGCCCCTGAGATATTGAAAGACTGCTATCATGTCCCCCCTCGTCCTTCTCTTCATTAAACTAGACATATCCAATTCCAGCAGCCTTTCCTTATATGCTTTAGCCTCCAGTCCCCTAATCATCTTTGTTGCTCTTCTCTGTACTCTTTCTAGAGTCTCAACATCTTTTTTACATCGTGGTGACCAAAACTGGATGCAGTATTCCAAGTNTGGCCTTACCAAGGCATTGTAAAGTGGTATTAATACTTCACGTGATCTTGATTCTATCCCTCTGTTAATGCAGCCTAGCACTATGTTGGCCTTTTTGGCAGCTGCAGCACTCTGCTGGCTCATATTTAAGTGATTGTCCACTAGGACTCCAAGGTCCCTCTCACAGTTACTACTATTGAGCAAGGTGCCCCCTATACTATACCTGTACATTTAGTTTTTCTTGCTTAAATGTAATAATTAAATTAATAATAGTTTAGGATTAATAATTTAAACCCATATCATTTAGTTTCCATACTCTGAATATTAATTCCAAAGCATGTTTCGAAGCAGCCTTGGTGAACAGACAACAAGGAAGAGAAATCTTATGCAAAGATGTTTCTTCCCCTCCGTTTGAGTGGTTTGGTTTATCTGAGAACAATATTTAGGATTTTTTTTTTCTTCAGCATCCACAGATTCCCTTCAATACATGTCTTCCTCTGGAGCTAAGAAATAGATTATGGTTTTTCCACTTCCTTCAAACCATTAAGAAATGAACCAATGTAAACCAGAGTAAGTATATCTTCTTTATTCTGTTAAATAAGTGCAAAGGGGCTCATTTATAACTACTGACAATCAAGCAGAATACACAGCAACAATTATTTTTTGGGGGGGAGAGGTTGCATTTCCCACCTTGAACGAATACAGTCAGAAAAATAAAAATCTGGCAAGATTAATTCACTTTTTTTTTCATCAAACAAAAGCTGTACAATAAAATTAAAGCACTCTTCATACCAAGATTGAAATGCAGGTGAAAGAGAGAAAGCCATCTGCAGGAGATGTAGGGAAAGGGATGGGGTTTCAATTCGGGCTCCACAACCATCACCCTGCCCCTTTTGACCCTGCCTACGGATGCTGCTGAGGCCAACTTCTCTCCCACACGTTCTGGCTGTAATTAGCAACAAATATATCCAAGTGGCTTTCCAAATCTATTAATAATGCTAATTGGTAATGCTATACATTTATAACAGATACCATTTAAAGGATCATACTTTTAGTTTTATTGATTTGAGGACCAGACAAAACAAGAGATGAAAAATGTGCTTAAATGATTTTACAGTTATGATGGAAATCAATATATGATTAGGCAATATCAATAGCAGAACATACTATCTGGGTAACTGGCTTTTCTCGAGAGTATAAATGAGAGTGTTTACTCCTTCCCTCCTACGCCAAACACATCGTAATTGTTTACACACCAAGAGCAAAGTCCATCCAACTGGGCAACTCGGCTTGTAGGTGATGCTAATCTATTCTTTTATTCTGTTTGTAGGAAGAAAATGAATTTATACATTTCTAAAAAGGACTAGAAAGTTTTTTTTCTGTCTTTTTAAATGGTTTGTTTATGATTTGATTTCCCAAGCTTTTCCCTCTTTTCTTTATTCCTTCATTTCAGTTTTATATGACAAATGAAATTTGTACATATGTACAAATACATTTTTAGTTTAATATAATCAAATAGTATACTATGATTAATATAGTATATATTAAAATAATATAATGGCAATTTTTAGCATATCTTATGAATGAGGCCTATTAATAGGTTTGACAGATCATGTTAAGCCATGGTTTAATCATCATATTTCATGGCTAGCTGAGTTCACTAATATGCTGATACTCAGAAACTTTGTCTATTAAAACTAAATCAAGCCTAGTTTCTTAGTGCAATAAATATAGTTCTATGAAATATTATATTTCTCCTTCCTTGACTTCCAATGCATATTTGAATTATTTTTTTATCAGCGGGGATAAGTTTATTTTGGCATAAATGCAGAGGTGGGACCGTTTCCCCCCCCCCTTCTGTGCAAAAAATGCACAGACTTACTATATTTGAAAAAGTAAAACAGATAATAGAATAAAGTGCAATTCCTTTCCTGAGTTCCTCTAGCCTACTGTTTTGCAACTATTGTAAAGCATGCATATTAAAGCTAAGTCAACATTTTATACTGCTGCACTCCAAGTGCCACACCAAAATCATTCAAGTAACTCCACAAAGCACAAATTATATTCATTCTCATTAATATCTTCAAACAGAAGGTTAATAAACAGTAGGGTAAGATGGAAATTCAAATAATTTCAATTTGTCATTTAAAATACTTCTTTTTCACAAAACAGATACTTAGGCTTCTTTTTTCCTTCCAAGTAAATTTCCAAGGCTCTCCTTCCAGCTGCCCCAACCTTTTCAACTAAACTTCATGCTGACAAGGAACAAAGAGGCAGATGAAGAAGGCATCCCGTGTGCTGAGAGAGGATTGACAGTTTTCAACAGGCTTTCCAAAACGTTTAGAGACAAATCCCTTTAAAAAGTGTTCTTATTTTATTTATACAATTATCAACAAAAGTTTATTTCCCACTGAGAATCTCTCAGAGGCAACCAGTGCATAATAGTAATCCTCCTAAAATTATCCTCCCCCAAATTAAAAAAAAAAAACAATAATCCTAAAAGGCACACATTCCTCCAAAGGTGTTTTGTGCAAACTTATCATATTTATACTTGCCATCTCTGGGTTGCAAGGTAAAAAAAAACCCAATAGTTTTAACATTATTTACTGAGTATTTATCCTAAGTACTTTATATACTTTTATCAGAGTAAAATAGTGCAGTTATACAAATATTAAAATCAGAGATCAGATTCTAAAGCAAAAGCCCCCTTTTCCATATTGATTTGATTGTCCAAATTGCTTTGAACTGTAGGGTAAGATTGAATTTAGAATCTGAACAAACACTTCCAATTAGATTGCACCCAATTGACCCACATCAGTAAAATATCAAGGCTACAGCCTTATCCTCATATTAAGAAGGGCCCTTTTTCTCACTTAAAATGCATCCATAATGAAGGGATTCTTCATGTTAATCCAAATTTAAATTAACCACATTACAGCTTTGCATTATGTGTGAACAAAGCCATCCCAGATGACATAAACTGTGAACATGGGATCTGACTCTCTTCTTTTTATATCCTCATTCATCATGCCATGTTTGCTGTCAAGCAATCTGGATAAATGTATGAAAATAAAGGTGAAAGTTTCAGGAGACATGTCACTCCCCAGGAGAGAGAAAGGAAAACAGATTTTTCCATTCCTGATTGGAAAACCCTGTCATGATCATGTGATGTCTATTCAAGGAGGAAAATTGTAGAAAATGGACAACACCCAAAACAAGTATGTTTTGCTTCTAAGTCAATGAAGATCCCTAAATTCTCCTCAGATACATTTTTAGGATTTGCGTTTTTATATTTTGAGAGATGAAATACTTTCTGCAACCATCGCTGGATATTCTTATTCAGGTGTAGGTAGGTGGAAATATTTGTTCCAAATGCAAGTTCATGCAATTGAGGCTGCTTCCTGTCCTGCTCAAATGAGATAGATTTTTGGCATATATTTTTGTTCTGTCACTGCCAAGTTGACAACCTTTCTGGTGCATATCAGAAACATAATAAAATCAGCATAACAAGGCACTGCATTTCTACCCAGTTCTTCCAAACTAAACGATAACTAGTTGAGCATTTTTCAGAATCGGAATCCAATTTACACAGAGCTTGAAAATGGAACCACCAGTTTGCCAGCCACATACACTTCCTCAATATTTCTGTCATCACCTGAAAATATAAAGACGAATGAGATTATTTCCTTAAAGTATGCAACCACCACTACTAACTTCTCTCAATTTTCCTAAATGATAAAACATATAATTCTGAATTTTATTTATAAGCATGCATCATTCACATTCTTCCAAAAACTTGAGTTTGATTATATTTACTATGCTGGATGTGTATGATCCACTTTTTATTTATTTATTTTCATGGTTCCTGCTTTTAAAACCTAAGCCACCCCAGGGTTGCTTGGAGTTGGACAGCTTCTAAATAATATTTAAAAAGTTACAATAAAATTGAAAATTACCCATAGTCATTACTAATGTCCAGAGTATGTTTGTAGCAGATTCAATTCAGTGATTTTTAATGAAGGTCGTGGAGTGGGATTTGAAGTATTGAAGGATACCCAGAATTCAGCATTCCCTGACCATCTACTTTTACCCAGACTGCTGTTCCATTGTTTCTCCTCTCCCACACGCGCGCGCACGCACACACACACGTAAGTCCTCACATCAGAAGTGAGACTTTACAGTTAAAGACATTATTTGGTGCCATCACACACAGTTCATATTCAGAGTCAGTTCACATATAGAATTCCGAACTCCTTCAAGCGATCTTATCATCTCCTAATTATGCTGCTGCATAGATAAACCAGAAGATCATAGACATAATCCCAGGGACTCTAAAGGCAGGAAATATTGCCATAGTGCTATACTTTGGAATAAATTACATCCAAATTCTTTTGGGAACCATTATAGATGTGGGTATGATTATTTTGATTCTATTAAACTTCGGTTAACCATTGTGAGAATTACAAGAATTCCCATATTGACTGCAATAAGGCTAAAAGACACCAGATTGGGGAAAACTGCTCTGAATACATTAAATGTTTTAAAAGACATACTGGATTCAGTTCAAGGGCAATATATAGGGGAAAGGTGATTTGTACAAGTAGACATAAATGAGAATCATCTATAATATACCTTCCAATTTTTATGGGATAAATGGCAATATGTATCCTATCAAATGCAATATGCCAAGAATACAAAGAAAATATAAGACAAAAAAAGTTGTCTTGAATCTGTAAATTCATCTTGTCCTGGCATTTTGTACTGCACAGAAATCAACTTTTTCACAAGTGATTTAAAAAAACACTTCGATAATGTAAGAATTAATGCTCAGTGTGAATGATAACATTTCATTATACAATAACTAATAAGTATTAAACATACACACATACACAATAATATTTTAAGAATTTTTTAACAGTAAATCATATGAAACTATCTGTATAAATTATAACTGGTATACCTACCAATATACAGGAATTTTTCAATTATATCCTAGGATGTAGGGGGAAAAGGAAAATTTTAAAATATAGTCCTTTTTATTGTAAAAGTAGATATTAAAACATTAATAATTTGTAAATTATTAATTTAACAAATTTGGGTTAAGAAAAAGGGACTGGCAAGTGAACTGTTTGTTTTCTCAGTCCCACTTCAACATATCTATTAGAATTAATTTTTTTTCTCATAAATCAAGTTTTTTTAAAAAAAAATGTATTTATGGTTTGTGGGAGAAAAGATTACAAACATCTCCAAGAATATTTATATAAGAGAGCATCAATCCATCTAAACTTTTAAGAGACAGGAGTGATCTCATAAATACTGTATACTTGGAGTTTCAGAAACTCTCAAATTTTCTCAGCAAATAATTCCAATAGTGAGATCACGATCATGCAGTAAGAATAGGAAACAAAGAGTTGGAATCAATACATAATTAGAGATTGTATTAGAAACATGCAAAATGGGATCACCAGGGATCAACATCAGGATTGGCATTTTTTAACTTGGTAATAAATGGTGTGACATTATCAGGACTAGAGATGAAACAGATTTTACCTATGATATCCAAATTTAAGAGTACTAATCTCAATAAGAAATTGCAATAATTCCAACAGTGCTTTTTCAAATGAATTAATTGGCTTTAAAGTAGCAAATGCTGTGAAATCAAGTGGAAATGGCCCCACATTTCTTCAAAAACAAACATATTAATTTAATTTGAGTTGAATGTAACTGATAAAGAAAAAGTTACTATAGAGTTAAAATTAACAGGAAAGTGAGAAAGTCAATCCAGTAGGCTGCTACTATTAGACAAAAAGGAAAACAAATTTCATGCTAACAATCATTAGGAAAGTAATGGAAAATTGGAATGCCAGTAGTTTTGTATCAAAAGAATACAACAGCTCTTATATAAAATCTATCACATGTCCCCCAAATTGATCTGGAAAAGATGCAAAAACAGGATGCAAAATGATTGACTTGTAACGAAAATCTGCAGCTTTTCTAGTGCTTTAACTTAGACCAAACAGCAGTAAAAAGAGATAAGATAGAGGTAATAAAATCCTGGATGGTGTGAAAAATATAGACTAATATTTTCCCCCCACAATGTTAGAACATGGAACTATTCATTCAAAACAAATGGAGGGAGGACCAGTACAAGGAGCTACTTTGTTTACGTTTCTAAAGGTAAATTATGGAATTTGTTATGAGCTAATGCAATGACTGCCCTTAATTTAGGTGATTTTAAAAGGAGACTAGATACATTCATGGAACATTCTGCTGTGAGTTAATTAAGCACTAGTCTGGATAACTACCTCCTAAACCACTGGATGCATGTCATAAATATCAGCTTCTAGGAAGTAATAATGGAAAAGGAATATCACCATCTTCTTCATGTTTATGAGCCTCCTATTACATCTGTTTGATTGCTATGTAACAGAGGATGCTGAACTAGATGGATTGTTGCCTGATCAAGCAACACTCTTATGTTTTTATGAAGCAACCAGAAAACTCACTGGGCTTGAGTGGTAGGCAGGCAAACTCAGGAACAAGAATTATTAGGGTTTCTGCGATGGTCTGTATTGCTAGTAGGGTAAAGTACATAACCTTAAAAAACTGTTGAAGCAATTCTCTAGATCAGTGTTTCTCAACCTTGGCAACTTTAAGATAGGTGGACTTCAAAACCTGGCTGGAGAATTCTGGGAGTTGAAGTCCACCCATCATAAAGTTGCCAAGGTTGAGAAACACTACTTAGATCAAGTTATACCTTAAGATAGAGTTACTCTGAGTCTCTTTCTCATGCTCCTTCCCATCTGCATGGCTGACGTGTCTCTTGCATTTGTTTCCTTCCTGCCTATTCCCAAGGCCTGCTAGACATTCCCTCATATGTGGATTCCTCCATACATATGCAACATACTTCAGTTACGCAGTATTTGATTACCTCAACATGGTCAGAAGCAAATAGATCAAAAGGACTATCTGAAGCTTTGGTGTTGATAAGCAGTGCATCAAATTCCTTGCCAACTTCAAAATTTCCAATTATATGATCTAATCCCAAAGCTGTCAATTAAAAAAAAAAAGAATGAATTTCTTTATTTGTACACAATGAAATTAAGTACGTTACAAGTTATGACTTTTGAAATCAATAGAAAGGATTCAATAATTCCTGTACAAAGGTTATATTTGCGTTCTTAGTCGCAATTCTGTTATGACTATAATTCCAGTAAATAACAGAGGAGGAGAAAATGACTCAAATTCTTTAAAATAAAATAAAATTTGATGACCAAAAGAAGGAACAATAATCAGCATGGAATTGATCCAGCATCAGTTCTGAGGAATACTGTTTTTGAAATACTAAATTTTAGTAACTTAATACTGAAATAAACTCTCTCAGAGTGTCTTTCTATGGTGTTTTTCCTAATACTCTTTCACATAGTTTCCACATTAAACAGCAGGGGGCAGTAGAATATCAATAGCCACATGCCTGTCAGCGTTAATAGGAGATGCAGAAAAGGATCAAAGTAAATTTATGGACATATGGACCATAAAATCATCTATTTCAAATCAGGAAAAGGAGCTTCCGGGGAACAAATTTGAATCCCAGCCATAGCAGAAGGAAAAATAAGGTATTAAATGCTTGTAATCTGTGAAAATATCTTTCAAATATTTTAAACATTTTAAACTTATTTACAGAGCTCAACAAATGAGAATCCTATTTGTTCATTCATATAGATTTATATTCTCCCTTATTTCATAGCATATTGGATCAGTGCTAGATCATCTCCAAATTTCCACACAAAATAATAATGTGTGTGATGTGAAGGAGAAATAGCAAATGATCCAAAATCATCCACTGAATCTTCATGGTAAAAAGTAGCACTGAGTGGAGCATTTTGGTCCTAATTCAGCACAGTATCTACCACACCACGTGGATACACACATGTTTTAGCAATTTTGGTAGCAATGTCATATTAAGCTATAGAATTTTAGTTTTTTTAATTTTGTTTTATATGATGTGTGAACTGTTTTGTGTTTTTTTTTACAAACCATGAGTGAGAAAACTATGGTTATACATACAGGGTGCATTTTGTCAGTAAAATGAAATTATTTGGATGTAAGATATGCTAAGATCCAAATGAAAAGTTTTTTTCCCCAAGCCAGGCTAGAATATCAGATGTAACTTCTGTGTTTTGGGGATAGATAATTAAAAAGAGGAGAATTACCTTGACTTCCTGCAAGAGTTGCTAGTTGGAATGCCTCCTTCAGAGTTAAGCCTTTTTCATCTGTTTCACTCTCTTTATTAAGGTGAAGGACTTCAGATACCACAATCGTACTTCTGATAGCGTCAAGCATGGAAGCAGAATAGCCACCGGCAACATCTAACAATAGAGCAGAATATTACAATCAGTCTGGAAGGCCTTATGCATGAGATGGAAACAGGAGTTTCATTAAATATGCAGGCAGATGCTCATTATTGCAACGTAAGTATGATCTCATCCAGGCTTTTTATCATGCTGACAACTTAAATGTATCTTCCAGGAATTCACTATGTACAGGAGGATATCCATGCTCTACGTCAGAGGTGCAAAATGGGTTGCCAAAAGTCAGATATAACTTGCCAGCATATATCTGGGGGTCCCAAAGCTTAAATCATGGGACAAAAAGTTTGCTCCCCGTTTTGCAGTGAAGAGTTCAGAAACAAAATAGACATCTTAAGCCACCCATTTCACCTCCTGAATCTCCTCCCCCAAAGAAGCTCAGCCTCCATCACTTATGAGGGGCAGGCCTGGTGGTGCCAATAAGGTGACAGAAGTGGTGTATTCTTGCCAGAGTTCACGCCAGTTCGGGATGGACAGTGGTACTGCTACAGCTGTAATTTCAAGGATAAAGCCAAGACTCTGTACCTCAACTGTTCCTCAGTGAATGGTAAACAGGCAAATGATAAACAGATCCAGGGTCAACACCTGAGATGATATAGCGTGATGGGGCTTGATATTTATAAATATTTGATAATCAGGCAGTGGCTAGAGGGGTCTGTAGATGGATCCAGCTGCTTGGTTTATTATGTTTTATTTATTCATCACTAACCTGTGCCTAATCCAAGTTTTACATTGTGGTTCAGAATCTTCCTTGTGTTTAAAAGGCCACTCTTTAATCTAGTTTGGAAATAAAAGAATGAAAGGATATCATTTTTATAAGTAAAAAAAATGGATGTAGCAGAGGTTAAAAGCTATTCGCAAAGTGCTAAAACAAGATGTAAAACAAGCCTTGCCACTGATTTAAGTATAACTTCATATGTGTTATTGCTATGAGCATATTCCACATTAACTAAGCTATGCTATATTTAATGCAGCTGAATCGAAAGCAATTCAGTAAGCAAATCTAATGAGAACATAGTACCTCAATACTGTTCATTAAAGTATTTTCATGCTTCTGTGTGACCTGGAAAAAAGATGTGGCTGCTTTAAGAATCACATTAATTTTAATTACCGTACCCCTTAAATTAGTGGCATTCAGACTCCCATATAAGTCTTAAAAAATGCATGGCTGTAGACAAATGCTGTAGTCCTATGAAAATTTTTTAAAAGTTTTTTGAATCATTTCTGAAATGTCTACAATTTTTTATTGTATTTATTGTATTTATTGTATTTAAGCTTGTGCATAAAATCAGTACAATCCAAGCATATAAGTTTCTGGTATATAAATATGTAAAAGAAGACTGAATGAATCAACCATTGGAAACAACCAGAATGTGTTTTATGGAATTGATGAGTAGATTTTAGGATTCTTGTCTCACTTTAAGACCCAAGATTCATATCTGAAAAACTTGACAACCGAATGCTTCCAGTATTTAACCCAGATGGATCCAACCTGTGTCCCATGGGTCGCCATGCTGCCCTGGACACCTAGTAATGTGGTCCCACAAGATTGCAAACTTTTAATATTATTATGTGATTTATATACAAGCAGTGGTGGGATTTAGCTGGTTGCACTGGTTCGGTAGAACCGGTAGCTAAATTTTGATGCATTCAGAGAACGGGCTGGCTTCCAGAAGTCCAGTCTAGGCCTCAGAGGCCTGGAGGAGGCCTCCCAGGCCTAGAACAGCTTGCTGGAAGTCCGTTCTAGGCCTCAGAGGCCCAGGCCTGCATCGAATAAGAGAACCAGTTGTTCAGGTATTTGAATTCCACCACTGGGCCCAAGGCATTCTTCTTCACTAAATGCAGCCCATGCAAACCAAAAAGTTGGATACCCGTGATTTAACTCATGACTGACATTTTTAAAAGCAACCTACCACAAATCCTTGCTCTCCGTTTTTATCTTCATTATTTAGGAGTGTGAGAATAGTTCAATATGAGCATCAGATTGGGAAAGATTGATCAGAAACCCACTTCTTGAAAGTATGATTACTTTGTGACACTATATTACTCACGATATGTTTGAATTAGGACAATGTATAATGGCAGCTCCTCTAAGTTTAAATATGTCCAGCTCTTCATCAGAAAGATAGCAGCCATGAGCCATTATAGTCTAAAAGTAAATATAGTAATATTACTTTTACTTATCTGAATCATTTTATTTTGACAATTCAGGTTTTAAAATAACAATTTTAGCATCTATTGTGAAAACCACCACAGCAATAACTTGCAATGCACCCCACATTGCTCAACACTTTTTGTAAAAATTTCAGTCTTCCAATTCCTTACTGAAAGGCAATTAAAGTGACACCCATTTTGGGTTATTAGTTAGATGCTTATATTTGCAGATAAAGAAAATAAAGATTCAACTTAATAGGTCCTATAGTATAATGTTTGACAACCACTGCTTACGTCTATGGTAGCAATACACAATGAGCTTAGAGCAGATAAACATGAATGTGCTATTAATACATTGGGAATTTTCATGCAGTTCTTATAATAGCATGTGAAAACTGGGAGCAGTTAGAATTTTAAAGTTGTGAGCTTAACATAATAGAACAAGGCTAGATTACAAGGAAAAATATAGGAAGGTTGAAAGAAAGGAAAGGGCATCCATTAATTTTTTTAAAAGAAAATTCTAAAAGTAGTCTAGTATGTATTTGAAATACATTTTTGTAAATGGTAGCTGATATATATAAAACATTTAAAATTTTGTGAGCTACTAAATTGTCTGTCTTGCCAGATAAGTATAAGTGAACTAAATACAGGCAAAGTACAGAACAATATATTTTATATGCTCAGCCAATTGCCAAAGAGAGAGAACTTTCTACACCCCTTTGCTGCTACCTAGTAATCATCTGAACATATGCAACCCAGAGCTGAGTGGTAAATAGTTTCTTGAAATAAACATTGTTTTTAAAAAAAGTTTGTTTTTCTAACAGAAATTATTTATCTACAAGTTTTAAGATCTTTATAAAAATGATGAGATAAAGAAAAGTCAGAACTCATAAAACCAAACAGTGCCTATTTTGCTAGATTGATCAACATTGATTCTACTTCAGCAGTAATTCAACACTTGTAACTCAAAAAGCAACATTACTCAGAATGTTTTCATGATAACAAACCTTGTTTGTAAGCAGCTTATTTTTATCATATAGCTCTGTATAATGTTGATAATGTGGAAACGTGCTTTCTATAAGTCTGAGCTCTCCTTTAGATTCACTGATGTGGCTCTGTAAGATGGGAAAACACAGAGAAAGTGGTCAGTATTTCACATAATTTCACTCCTTCAGACAATAATATGAATGTCTTGACACAAGCAAGCTATTGAAGCTATTCAGTACACAGCATTTACAAAGCTACATTTTTAATAAAAGCAATATTTATAAAACTTCATACCATGTCAAGTTTGATTGGTAGTTTTATAGTAAATTAAATTATTATTTGAAAGGTTTTTTTAAACAAACAATGCAAAAGAAAATTTGAAAACAGAAAAGAAACATTTTGCTTTAACAGATTGTAAAACCCGCACAAAAAATAATGATGTAAAGAACTAGCATCGTATGACGCAGAGCTGCCTAACCTAGACCACATTATGAAAAGTTGAAATACCGAATTTTAGTGTTTAATATGAAGAAAAAGCTGATGAAATCTCCCTTCATAGCTGAGAACTTCAGTATTTTAAAGAGATAGATAATATAGACAGCATAGAAGAAGCCTGAATAACGCTGGACATTGCAGAAGAGTGCTGTGTTTATTTAAGTTTTAAAATATTTCTTCCACTTAATTTTCAATTGGCACACACCAATATTTATGATCTAACTTAATCCTGTAAAACAAAGTTGAACTAGGTCAGTAGGAAGTCATTTAATTTTACAGTATCTGATGATTTAGGAAAGCAACAGTTGAAATTAATGTATTATACTTTACAGAGAAAAGACTACACATTGTAATTAAAGACTGAAACGAATGAATATTGACTTGTGATTTAAAGAATATAAGAGTGGTGCAGGCTATAACAACAGGCTATATAGGCCAGTTGCCACCATGATAATAGCCCTCTTCATCTGTTGATTTCATATCCGTGTCTTACTTAGCTACTTCGCATATTTTCAGTATGGCAAATTCTTGCCTTGTGTTGAGTGAACCATGATAGCTATTTAAAAATGCAAGAATTCCTATCAAATCAAAATATTTCGTTAATAAAACTTAATTGCACTGTTTCCACATTCTATCTGGGTTTTTTGTTTGTTTTAGGATAGAAATGCAAGAAATAAATGGCAAACATAAATGGCTAACTTAATATGAGGTAACAGAATTTTGTCCAGAGTTATATAAAGTAAAATAAACAGAGCAGATGGCAGAGGGATACACCTGACAATGGTTTCCTTATTTATAGCAATCATAAAGATTTAAAGTTAATCAAATAATTTATTTATTTATTTATTTATTTATTTATTTATCAATCAATCATCCTTCTCAACTCTGGGCAGTTTACAACACTGAACATTTTAAGACTGATTTGAAAGAGATTTGCATACAAATGAGGACTGTGATTGCTCAATTTTTATTGAAATTTGGGACAGAAGAAGGACAAACAGAGATATACGATAAAGTGAATAAAATTTATTATAATTTACAGTTGGAACAATGGAAAATATGTGGTTGAAAAGGCTGAGATTTACTCTATGTTATAATGTTAAAGATAATTTTTATAAAATAATGTACTGTTGGTATAAGATACCAGAAAAACTATCTAGAATTTATAATGTACTTCAAAGGTATGTTGGAAATATGAACTACAAGAATGGTTATTTTATTATGCTTGGTGGACATGCAAAATGCTAGAAAATTTGGGGTTCAAATGCACACAGATATTCAGAGGATTTTAAAGATAAACGTTCAACTGAAACCAGAACTTTTGGGACTGAGAGATAAGCAATTGGGAAAAAAAAGTCATGGAACATTGCTTTTAATATATGACAACTGTAACAAGTGTTCTGTACACACAAAAATGGAAAGATTTGGCAATGCCTGCAACAGAAGTATGGTTGATGAAAATGATAAAGCTCACTGACTTGTTTGAATAGAGAAAAGACAATATCTACATTTACTGGTGACTGGAAAGCCCTTGTGGACTTTTTCTGTAAAAAATGAACTTATGATAGATGGTTCTGAAGATTAGATAGGGCAGATTATAGAAAGAAGAGAGTCACAATTTAACTTGAGAGAGAGAGACCAGTATTCTGAAAACTGCTGGGTGAATAACATCTTTGTAAACACAATAACAAATGGTTTACCTGTATATGAATATCATGAGTCTCTGCCAGGTTACCAAGGCTACTAAGTAATTCCTCTGTACAAGATAGTCCAAAACGGGGTGTTACTATGGGAAGTATTCTTGGATACTAAGGATATTCAAATAATAGAAAGAATAGACAATAGATGTGTAAGTACAACAGCATTTTAAGCTATACCTATTGCTGTATATGTATCATGTATTAAACCATAATTAAAAGGGGCTTTAGGCTCATTTTCAACCCCACTATTATGAAACCATAATGTAACATAGCAAAATAGTGATTATCAGCTAGTAAAAATAAAGTGCATGCAAATTTAGGCTTTAGCTAATAATTATATACAATGCTATTTGATTCTAGAAAGTCTATTGATTTATATCTAGCACAAGATTAATATGCATATAAAAAGATTGTTTTCATATATTTATCATGATAACTAAATGTAATCTAAAAGATAAACTATAGGGAGTTATCTAGAAAACAAATTAAATAAATAAGGCAGAATTGCTATTTGGGAAAAGCACCAATGATGACTACTTTTCCATATCTCTAACAAAACAAAATATCCACATAACAACCCCGTGAAATAAGCCACTGATGTGGCCTATTTTACAAAAAATAGTTTATAAAAGAGACAGTGAAATTAATCTTCATTAAATTCACTGAAATTAATGTTCTTAAGTTCAGAAATCATTCCCTCCCCAAAATGTGATTGTAACTGACTCAATTCTTTGAATGTCATTCTGGCTACTTTTTTTTTAAGGTAAAGTTTTCTATTTCCTCTCATCATCTGTGACCCATCCTTTGAACTACACCCCAACATTACCCCAATATTTTAGAAGTCAACACAGAAATGAGAAGAAAGCTATGTAGCATGAAAGGAAGATTGGTTCCCAGGGGCTGTATGGAGTCCCACACACAAAAAAAGAAATTGGATCGGAACTGAAGAATAAAATGCAGAGACCAGAATAAAACTATAGCTGTATAGGGTTCATATGTAATTAAATACGGCTAATGTTTAATAATATTCTTCTTCTAATAAATTAAAGCTTTCAGTTTGATTTTCAGTTTGGCAGAGCTTTAAAAACTAAAGCAACACCATTCCGGGCAAAACATGAGACGTCCTGTTGTTCTATCTGGATGAGCGCTTATAATCCCTGACTTGTAGCATTTTAGGAACAGGATGTTCAATATAAAACGTCTAAACAATACATGGTTTCATATTGCCAAGATCATTTTGTTGCATTAAAAACCCAAACATAAGGTATGAAATAATTATATATACCGTTCTGCGGAAGAAAACTCAGCTTACTTACTTTTTTCCCCAGTATTCCTTGAACAAATCTGAAAAGATCAGAGAAAGGAATTAGAAAGAGATTTATAAATGGATGTGCGAGTCGGGTGATCAACCATGAAATCAACTATTTCAATTTGGTATCCTCCGCAAGGTTCTTGACTACAATTTCCAGAATTCCTTGTTAATTTAATTTCCAATACATCCAAAGGACGCCATATTTGGAAAGACTGCAGGAAATCAACACTTTCTGTGGCGGTTAATGAGGCTGGGCAAATGTGCACCAGCTAAGGATTTTTATCTTAAATGTACACAAGCTGTTGATAATTAACAGTAGACAACTGGTTATTAGAATGTTTCCTGTGACAACTGAATAGATAACATACAAATCAAGTGAAAGTGTAATTGTATGTTATAGTTATGGGCATATTTTTTTTAGAAAGTAAGAACTTTTGGCTCTGTATCAGAAAAGTGAAGTGTCCTATTTTGATAAGCAGCATTTTGTATGGCATAAACATGTTTCATTGACAATACCCTGAAAATGTGAATTCTAATTTCACATCTGTCCTACATTAGATAGATAGATAGATAGATAGATAGATAGATAGATAGATAGATAGATAGATAGATAGATAGATAGATAGATAGATAGATAGATAGATAACCTTTATTGTCATTTACTGCGGGCTTGCTCTCAAAGTGTACCCATATATAACACATTTAAACATAGCTCAAGCTATAGTTTTCACTGTTGTTAACTATTCTGTTGAATAGAATTAATTCCTGCATGTCTTCTTAGCTCATCCAGAAATTCATCTGCCAACCCTTCCTGAAACCGATTGATAACTACTGCTTCATTCCAGGCCAGATCTTGGGAGATTAACTGGAAAGCTCTGACATATTCAGTCACAGAGTGGCACCCTTGTTTCGGTTCTCACATTTTGGCAATGTGCTGTCACAGGGTCAGAATAAATGAGTTTAGAGCTGTCAACTGAATTCAGCAGTCATCGAACAGGGGGCTGTTGTGTTAACAATGGTGTGGCCCATTTACTAACAATTCCAGATAAAAGGCTGATTATAAACCCACCTTGATGTCTTTCTGCTGGAGAATCCTCCCCATGCATGTTCATATAAAGATTGAATTATGCCCAACTGGTAAGAAATTGAGACAGCATCCCATCAAACTTTTCTGGACAGGCAATAGGACATTTTCTGAAGAGTGAGGACTGGTTACTGTTGCAGCTGCTGCTTATACTGACAGGGCTTGTAATGTTTGCAGTTGGACTATGAGTAAAGCAAGCTGCTGAGTCAGCTGGGTATTCCCAGCTGCAAGTTTCTCTATGCTGTTTAATTTTCTGCAGTGTGACTGTTAGTTAAAGTTTCACTTCCAAGTCAGCTGAGAGTTAATGAAGCTGGAAACAAACTGTTCTGCTTCTGATTTCAAATATTGACTCAAGGTAAAAGAGATAAGGACAGTCAAAGCATGCAAGTCAAAACAGAGTCTCTGAAAAATGAAGAGTGAAGAACATCATTCCAAGGTTCCAAGAGCTGGGTGAGGGTTGTCAGACAGTCCAGAGATCAGAACTTCATGGGAAGAATCCACGTGAATTGTCATGCAAGAGCCAGAAATCAGACAGTTGTTTCCAGCAAAGAAAAGAGGGCCAGGGCTGGGTCTTAAATCAGGCAGCAGGCAGCTGTCATTATTCGAGAAATTTGTCCCTTTCCTGGCAATGTCTCTGCTTTGCTCTCCTCTTTATTTGCAGAATGCGGGGTGTCTAGGAGGCCTTATGTCAGTGGTTCTCAACCTTTTTAATGCCGCGACCCCCCAACCGGTCATAAGTCGAGGACTAAACCGGTCGTAAGTCGAGGACTAAACCGGTTGTAAGTCGAGGACTAAACCAGTCGTAAGTTGAGGACTACCCAACCGGTCGTAAGTCGAGGACTTTCCCTGCCCGGAAGTGCCGCACATGCGTGGTTCCGCTCCCTGCGCCGGCCGAGGTGTAGCTGGCAAGCGGCAGAGATGGAGCAGGCCAACCACCAGCTGGCCCAGCCCAAGGGAGGTAAAGCACCCGCCGGAAAAGGGGAAAAAATGGCAGACAGCCTTGCTTGGCGACCCCCGTGAAATGGTCGATCGACCCCAAATGGGGTCGCGACCCATAGGTTGAGAACCGCTGCCTTATGTCATTCTTATCTGACTGCTCCAGCTGTTCATGTGATGTCTATTTTTGATTACTTTTATATGATTCTTGTGTCTCCTGAGGCTGAAATTCCACAGGTTCTGCTGAAACCTCTTCTTCAAAATTAGAATCAGTATCTGAGTTTGGCCCATGACACATATATTCTACCATAACTTACTAGTTTTCAAGTTCCCAGCAAGGCAAATAGCATAAAGCATTTCCCAATGGAATGTCAATGCAATGATAATCTTTCTAAAAGCTTTGAAGACATAGATATGTTCTCCTGCTTGGAATTAGGTAGATAGTGGGAGCCCATATGATTATGGTTAAAGTTATTGTAGAGATTTATTTTGTCTACCTTCATAGTTTGTTTAATGCTGTTTTACTATTTATTTGGATTGTGCTTTTATATATTGTTAGCTGCCTGGAATTGCTAAGGCAAGATAGGTGACTATATCCATTGAATGAATGAATCAACCAACCAACCAACTAATCAATCAATCAGGCTACATAGAAGTTGAAGTGAAGAAGGAATGTTTCTTCGCACGAGCAGAAATATATGACCATGCTCATATATACGTAATTAGGCAGCGCTGTCTGAAATACATTGTAAGTCACCCAAAATTGCTTAAGAAGGGCAGCCATATAAATAAATAAATAAATATCTTTAATACGTGAACTTTCATAAAAGTGTATATTATTCTGCTTATACCTTTATGTTATCCACGCATGAGCTTTGCATTCAGTTCAATGACCTTTAAGATGTTAGAATAGTTATATGACCATAAATGTGTTGCATAACAGCCGTGGTGGCACAATGGTTAGAATGCAATATTGCAGGCTAACTCCTCATTCCACTGCCGGCAGTTCGATCTTGACCAGCTCAAGGTTGGCTCAGCCTTCTATCCTTCCGAGGTCAGTAAAATGAGGACCAAGATTTTTGGCAGCAATATGCTGATTCTGTAAAATGTTTAGACAGGGCTGGAAAGCACTATATAAGTCTAAATGTTATTGTTGTTGCTACATCAACATAGGCATTAGTTTCTCTATAGCTGCTTTTCTTCTTTTTTCAAAGACTTTATTTTGGCAACATTTTTGAGAAAATCCCAAATACTGTGAAATTATTCCTACTGTGGTGGGAGCCTATTAGAAACAAGTAAAATACAAACAGATGCCACATGTTAGTTTTTGCTTTCATTTTTGGAAATCCTTGTCCTCTTTCTTTCGTCATTCTTAAAAAATATTGCTGCTTAAATCATACAGGAAGAACTATCTGGCTTACCTTTCAGTTTCCTTAATTGATTCTTTGGTGGCCTCCTTGTATTCTGGGAAGCTTTCATTGATATCCATGCAAACTTTACCCACAAATGCCCTCTGACCAAATTTATCTATAAGATATGAAGCAGAACAAGATTAAGAATAATTTTGTTGATTCTCATTTTTAACAGGTCTTTTTTTTTAAAAAAAAAATGCCAATAAATTCTGACATTACAAGCATACCTAACAATTTTAAGCACTCATTTGGAATGGAATAGTATAGAAAGAGTTCTATGCAATTCATAATTATCTCCCAGTGTAGTTTGTGTCTTTTTAGCCACACCATTACAATTCCCCACCCCCTGAAAACAAGTGTTTACAAAATATAGGATCTACTGTTACCACTGTGAGATGTGAGATGTGAGCTATAAGTTCCTTAGTTAAAACTTATTTCATCTATACACAGTATAGAGAAATTGAAAGCAGAACAAAGTACTTCAAACATTGAACAATGCTATATGAGTAGTAGAAGGTAAATAAAAGTAACAGTAGAAAAATGTATATTTTATGGAAAAGTTTTCTCATGATAAGAATGAAAACCACAAACTTAATTGGGGTTTGTTGGTTTGTTTTTGGTAATTAGATAAATTTGTGTTAACTTTGACAGATGAATGCAGCCTTTATTGACTAAGAGCAAAGAATAACTATTTTCATATCTAGTTGGGAATTTATTCACTGCTATTGAAACAGATTGTACAGCTCGAGTGAGTGAAGACTCCAGAAAATAAATCCCTATATTATTAATTACATAGAAAGTAATTGAAGGATTGAAGTTTGTTATAAGGGAACACAGGAATATCATTAATTGATCCAGTTTACAATAACAAAGGCAATCTGAACTATACTTGGAGCTTCTGAAAATTTCTCATTACCTGTAAAAGTAGGATCTATTTGCAACTTTGTTTACTTTTTTTAACATAAAATTTTCAAGTTCCACTAACCAGAAACCAAATACAAAATAGTCATGTGGGCACACAGACATATACTAAGAAAAAAAAAGTTCAGTTCAGGAATTTGAAATCAATAATTGTCCTGATTTTCCTTCCAGTGTTTTTTTACTGGCAACTAATTTGAGAAGGAAATACATTTTAATTATTGTTATTATTAGATAATTGTACTTTAGAAAGCCTTACCAATCTACTTTTAATCACAGACCAATAAATCCCAATTTATTTTCTGCTAGCCCAGTGGTGGCAAACCTATGGCACGGGTGCCAGAGGCGGCACTCAGAGCCCTCTCTGTGGGCACGCACGCCGTCACCCCAGTCCTAGGCCTTCAGCTGGGTTTTATAAAACCTTTTCACTCTAGGCCTCCGCTGCCGTGTGCAAAAAAAAAAAAGGTTCAATCAGTCAATTTGAACATCTCGCGGGGAAAAAAAGATCTTGCAAAGTTGGAATTGATTGATTTAACTTTTTAGTCCCACCCAGTCTGCCTTTACCATCGCAGCCACGCCCAGCCAATGGGCCACACCCACTCAATGGGCCACGCCCAGCCAATGGGCCACACCCACCCGGCACTCGGCGATGCATAAGTGGGTTTTGGGTTGCAGTTTGGGCACTCAGTCTCTAAAAGGTTCGCCATCACTGTGCTAGCCCATTCTAAAAGTTCTCGACAATCTTACAATCTTACCTATAATGTCAGCCAGAAGCAAAGCAGCATCTGTGTGAATTGTGGCAAAATAGCAAGCTGTAGTTGTACCATTCTTGAGCGTTCGCCTCTGTAAAAAAACAAAAACAAACACAACCTCATAATTTATTTGTTTCAGGGAAAAATAATGCAGTGAATAATGTTACCATTTTCTAAAAAAAAAAACAACCCCATCTATATAATCAGTGACAATTGTTAGGACAAAAATATTATTATAGACATTATAGGGAAAAAATACCTTTATTATACTACCTCATGTCATCTATTTTTTTTTTAAAAAAAATCTTAGCTGTGTATTAACTTAACAGTATATCTAACGTGTCCTGGGGTTCTGTCTTTCAGAGGTGGGCGTGTTCCTTCCCTTCTGTCTCTTGAGAACTACTAAGGATTCAATTATGGCCTTCAGCAAACAAAGCAGAAACTATTATTCTTTTTCCTGTGCAAAGATTTAGTTCAAATTATGGTAAACACGCAGTTTCTTGGCTCCAGTTTAACATATTGTTAAGCATTATAATTTATTCAGTAAATCACAGTTAAACAAATCCACTGTGCAAAGATAGCCAATGATAAATCAGAATAATCTGGTTTATCTCTGTTTCATCTGAATGCCTAATATCTGGGTGCATACAGTTTATACACTCTTATTTTCCTCTTTCCTTTGTACAACTGTGTTAATTTGTCCTATTTTTTCCCTGAAATATATGTTTTTACAAATCATATCGACTTGCATCTTGTCTTTTCATATGATGGATTTGATTTCCCAGAGAAAATAGAAGCAAAGCAAAAAGAGCCTATATTAAAGGGAAGGGGAGTAACAGGATTGCTCATTTTTTAAATTGATTATAGAACTAAGATTACATCATATTTAATTGACTCTAAGCAGCTAAATTGTGACTCAGCCCCATTTCTAACCTCTCATTAATCAATCTATTCAGAGTTGGCTCCCTTTTTAAATCCCACAGATTTCAAAAAGAAAAAAAAACTACAGGCCCCATTTCACCATTGAGGTTAGTTGCACTTAAAAATGGCTAGATCATGAGCAGAGATTAAAAATGATGCACTTAAAATATGCATCTAATAGTGCTTCATAAAGTATTCTACCAAAACAACGCTATCATATTTACTTAGCCTTTCCTGTTTTATAAATCAGGTGGAATAATTACAGTAGGAAATCATCCATATGTATTTAAAGAGTTGAAAACTACTCCATGCAAAACTAATTGCATAAAACATTGATTTCCAGCTGCATAAACATATGTGTTCACTAGGGCTAGGCAGCATTTTGGATTTGATTCCTCAAAGCTGTTTAAGAAAGGACATGTTATGAACTCTTTAAAGGAGTCATGTTTTTTCTCAGACTTGTAATGTTGATCTTTGCAGCTATTTAAAAGAGCTGCAGATGGATGCAGTGTTAGTTCTGCAGAACTTTCCTGAAATCAAGTCCAAATAATTACTCAGCTTTTTATGTCTTTCTGAGTTCAGTGGGACTTCTTCCAAACAACAGAGTTTTGCATTTTATATTATTCATCAAATTTATAGACCATTCATCTCACAAACAAAGTAACTCTGAGTGGTTTACAAATAAACACCATAAAATTGTACAGAAATAGACAAAGTTTGAAAGATGGAGAGACACCCATAAGACATCAACCACCCCCAGGTTGCATACCACTCTTGGGTAATCAGGCTAGTTTATAGAGCCAGGTCTTAATGCTCTTCCAAAAGGCCAGAAGAGTGGGAACCATTGTCACCTCAGGGGACAAGATGTTCCATAGGACAGGGGCAACAGCAGACAAGGTTCTCCGCCTAGATCCCATTAGTGGAAATTCTTTGGCCAACGAGATCCATAACATGTCCTTTTTGCCTAACTGGGTAGGACAGGTTGATGTAACTGGAAAGAGACAGCTCCTCCAATGGGTCACACGCCACAAAGGGTTTTAAAGGTCATGACCAATTTTGAACTGGACCCAGAAGCAAATTTAAAATTTAAGTTTTAAAGACATTTTTAGCTTTATCTGCTCATGGTTTATTTATCTCGGGGCAGACATAGAAGTTGAATTATTCTAGCTTTAGAATAATGTTTACTATATATTCCAACTGCTTCTGCTTATTCATGAATTGTACATGTCGAACTGTAAGAAATCAGGAAGAATTTATTCTTTGTATGTTTGTATTGAAGTAGAAATGAAGAAGTCAGAAGAAGAGATAAAGGATTATCAAATTATTACACCAAATTCAGCATAACTTTCCCAAATAATCTTTTTTATATAATTGTAAACCATAGTAGTAGTAGGGAAAGAATCCTGAGATGTTTATGGTGATAAGGAAAAGAGGTACAATAGATAGGGACAAACTGACAAGTAGACAGACAGATAGATCTGTCTTACCACAGCTCTAGTGTACACTTCTTCAGCAAAATCAAGTTTTTTGAATTCAGCCTCTACTGGATAAGTGGTTTTTTCCAACCATTTCAAAAGAGTCAGATTTCCTCGCATCCCTGAAAAGGAATACTGTGGGGCATGGATATGTGCATCAACCAAACCTGGCATGAAGAATTCACTGGGAAAGAAAAGTATGAAAAACAAGCACATCAACTTTCCAAATGTTATTATTTGCATTTTATTAAATCCAGTGACTTCAGGAACAAACTGTGATATTAACATTATCATATATTCATGATGATGCAATCACACAAATGTTGCAGTTACATACAGTATTACATCATTGTGATGTCTGACACAAGTATGTAAGCATTTGCGTAATGACATTATCATGCAACATTTTCTCCTGCTTCTGCACATGTTAATAATACTTGTGGAATAATTATATGTGGTCAATATTGATAAATGGAGAGATTGGGATAGGTCATACCTATTACTTCCAGCATTATGCAAGCCTTTGGTGCTGTGCCTATATAGTTATAACTTGTATACACCTATAGGAAACTGGTTCTGCCACTCATCTACACTTTTGATATCATTAATATATTTATTTTACATCTCATTTTCATTCAAGAACTTGATATGATTTACCTAGCACTTCCTCTTCCTGTTTTTTTCCACAATAACTCAGTTTGTTGAAATAGGTTGGGTTGAGAGAGAATGAGTGGATTGAAGTCAGACAATGAACTTCTGTGGGTGAGGATGGATTTGTCACTCCTATTTAACATTTTAACCACTACACTATATGAGTTGTCTAATTAGAGATGATGTTTATACTCTTTTCTAAGTTTGAAAGTTTCTGTTCAAAAAACTCTGTTTACAATAACAGAATATGACAACAAAAGCAATTTAACAATGACTAAACCTTAACAAGAGTGAGTCAACCTAATGCTTGCAAAGACTTGCAAAAACATGATGGTTGAAGAGGATTTGAATTTTAAAATGTTTGTTGGTACTGTATGGGAGGGATACAAAAATATGGCTAGCGTGCCTTCACACACTATTGTTTCCCACAAAATGTACATAAAAGGTAAGTGCCAAGATGTGGGAAAGGACAAAGGCAGGTTCAGCTTCTGCTTATAATAAACTGTTTCACAAGGATCTACAAAACGGTGGGGGTGGAGACATGCTGAAATAATAAAGCCTGCTACACAATTTATGTCATCTCCAAGCTATTAATAAGGCATGTTATAAAGGTAGTCCTTGATTTACAAACATTTGTTTAGGGACTGTTCGAAGTTACAATGGCACTTTAAAAAAGTGACTTAAAACCGTTTTTCACACAACTGTTGCAACTTCCTGAGTGGTTTGTAAGCCTTTTCTATAATTCAGTCTTTCTAGTTAATTTTGCCTCCAGAAGTAATGGATTATGAGAGGTTGTAGCAAAGATGCTGACTTGACAAATTCTGGATGTTTAAGTGCAGAATTTGGGGGCAGGTTGTGGTTTGTTTTGCTTCTGCCATTGTTTAGTTCATTTTATTATTTATGTGTACTGTATCTTTTGAGCATCTGGTGCTAATTGATCAGAACACCAAAAAGTCTTAACCATTTATCATGGTTTTATACATCATATTATAATTCTACATGATTTATCTGCTAGTGGCTTTTATAAACAATTGTTAAGAAACTTTATCCAGAAGTCACCCCATCTAAAATTTAGTGAAGGACACACAGTGTTTCTTGTGTAACTTCATTGTCTTTGTTTTTTCCTCATGTTTTGCTACAGGGCAGGACCAAAGTGTTTATTTTAAAAAGCTGTTCAGTGCTAATGAAGTGAAAGTCATTGTAAACATAAATAAACTGTCATAGCTGCTACATGGATTATGTCCAAAATAAACTGCTTCAATCAAAGCTGGTGACTTGCACAGTATTTAAGAATTTATTGCAATTATGTTCAGAATTATTATGCACTAGTTTGAGCACTCTTGAACTCTGCAGTAATGGTCTACGGCAGAATTTTTTAACCTTGGCAACTTTAAGATGGGAGAGCTTCAGTTCCCATAATTTCTCTGGCCGCTGTTCATCCATTTTAAAGTTGCCAAGATTGAGAAATGCTGGTCTAGGATTTGCCTAAAATCTGCCTTTCCACTGCCAAATTACATTCTGCTGAGTCTGTTGATAAGAAGCAACTATAGTGTGCAGTAAGGCACCTGAAGAAATTGTCAATATGGACATTATGCCTGGGAAGTAAACTGGGAAATCTCATTGACTTAACACGAGTGAGTAGTAAAAATAAACTGTTGATTGATTGCCATAGTTGTTAAACATCCTGGCATTCTCTGCCCACAAAAATAGACAAGACATTTTAATATAAATGCCAGAGAAGGAATGAAAGATAGGAATAATTTCTGGTTCAAACATCAAGTCAGGTTCAGATAATAACGTCTTTCTTCAAAGGAACCCTTGAGATCATAGATAAATAGAAAGTATTTCAAATTATAATTTCTTGGGCAGTAAGATTGTGCCAATTGCAATATCAAGACTTCATAATCCATGCAGGCATACAGACCATGCCCATTACAGGATAATTCCCTAAGTTACATAATACTGAACCAGCTGCCTGAAAAATATTTATTTCTTTGTACAATGCATTACACAACTATTTTAAATACATAATCAGATGATACAATAGATAAATAATAGAGTTGCACACAGTTTGCAAATTGTTCAGAAGTGTTTCAGACCTCCCATCAGCACAGTATCCCTCTGATGTTCATAAATATAGCTACAGGTTGAAGTTTAAAGAAAGATGTGGCTGCTTTAATGAGTTGTGTGACTTCTTTTGAAGACCACACAATGTGCAAAACACTTCTAAAATAGTTTTGAAGCCTGTACAACTCTTATTAAGTTAGAAAGCCATAAAAAATTAAAAACTTGGAATATCTCATGGCAGAGGAAAAGAAAGGAAGATACATGAACGGTTTTTTTTAGTTAGCTAAGTAAAAAAGAAGGACAAGAACAAGCAAGAATCGACAGAAATCATCTTACAAAGTTTCAGGAGATTTAAGATTTAAATTCTTGCATAGTGATCCTCTTCTAATACAATAAAAACAATGATGGTGGTGCATACTATTTCACCATTCCTAATTGGTTTTGTCCCTAGCTTCTTTGTTATTATATTCATACTGGTGCTACTGGTTGTTCTGCTTTTTAGCCAACTGGATTTATAAGCCACAGTGTGTTCTTGAAAAAAAGCCAAATAATTTGTTGAGAATGTAATATAGAACAAAAATGCATACTTATTACTGAGTTCTTGTATATCAGATGCTTTAAATCCCCACTTCTTCGCTAGTTTGTCTTGTCCATCAGCTGGTTCAAAAAATATGATCTAAGAAAAAGGTAAAACAATGAAATAGATACATTATTATATCATTCTGTATGCAGGGAATTTAGCAAATACTTATTCTATGTTTTATTTTTATTAATGGTAGAAACTAATTCATATTAAATGTTTCATTTTATAATTTTTTTAAAAAAATAGGCATTTTTCTCTTGTATATCCTAAATAATATGTGATATGTGTGTATTAGAGAGAGTTTGTAAATATGAAAACTAATATATTTACAGAAGAATGTTTTATATATCTGTGTATTTACATTACCTTCTGTAAATGCTGTATATTTATTTGATTGTTGGCATTTGCAGGCTGATATTTTTATAAATATTGCAACATGTTTAATGCAAATTTTGCATAATTATTTGTAACCTTTCTTCTATCATTTCTGTTTTTTGAGTGTCCCTAGTAAGGAATATATTTCCAAAATCCATTCAGCTTCCACAAAATAATTTTCACAGGGATTTGGATTCCTCTCCATCTGAGATTCCTTCAGCCTCTTTTTTCTACTGAGAGATAAACCTACTGAGAAGCAGACTTGCAAATGAATGCTTCCTCAATAGGAAGTCAAGAACTAAGCAAAGTCTTTTGCCTTTGGTTAATGTTATAAAAGCAAATCTGTAGAACTATTTTTTATCCATGATTAAATTCCCTTTGGGAGAATCTATTGAGGGTCTCTACCAACAGATCCAAAAATGGGTGGGCCAGCAGTCATAATTTTCTATTTAATTTCTTCTAACATAAATCACAATCACTAATCCACTATAAACCAGTTCTTAATTTTGGTGAGGTATTTTTGTTTCCCAACAGCAGTAGTGCCTGGAACAATTCTAGCATCTTTTAGTTTGTTTTCTGATATGGGTTATATTATAGGAAAATATTATGGCTATCAGATATGGGCTGCAAAAATAGAGATTATTTTAAGAATAACCTTTTTTTAATCTTCTTAATGTCATTTAGAGTTTTCCAGATTTTTGCCACTGAGATATGACTGTGCTAATTAACCCTAATTTAGAAACTGCTATGTTGCTCTTTGTTGCTCTTCTTTGCACTCTTTCCAGAGTCTCAACAGTTTGTAATTTTAAAGATATTTAATGATTTGAAACCAATACTTGATCATTGAACTCAGTGGATTGCTTTTTAAGACTGAATTGTTTTATTACAACTAAATTTTAGCAAATATTTACAATCTGATACCTAATTTAATTGAGAACCACAGGATTTTCAACAGTTTAATCTAACAAATCAATTACTTAAATATGATATTCTAGAGAAACATTGTTATGCAGGTTAGATTGGATGATCTGTAAGACAAATCAATTACTTAAATATGATATTCTAGGGAAACATTGTTATGCAGGTTAGATTGGATGATCTGTAAGAGGTCGTCCTTTTGCCACTGCCCCCTTTTTTGTTGGGATTATAATAGAACAGCCAGTTATATACAGGATTTTTCCTTTGTTGAGAGAGGAAAATAACAACAAGCATCATTGAACAGAATATCAGAGTTGGAAAGGGACCTTGGAGGTGTTCTAATCCAATCCCCTGTTCAAGCTTATATCATTTCAGACAAATGGCTGTCCAATCTCTCTTAAAAACCTCCAATGATGGAGCACCCACAACTTCCGAAGACAAGCTGTTACACTGGTTAATTATTTTCACTGTCAGGAAATTTCTCTTTAGTTCTAGGTTGCTTCTCTCCTTGATTAGTTTCCATCCATTGCTTCTTATCCTGCCTTCAGGTGCTTGAGAGAAAACTGGGTTGACCCCCTCTTCTTTGTTTAATCCCTCAAATATTGGAACACTGCCATCATGTCACCCCAGTCCTTCTTTTCACTAGACTAGACATACCCACTTCCTGCAACATTCTTCATATGTTTTAGCCTCCAACCCCCCAAATCATCTTTCTCTGTACTCTTTCCAGAGTCTCAACATCTTTTTTACATTGTGGCAACCAAAACTGGATGCATTATTCCGAGTATGGTCTTACCAAAGCATTGTATAACACTTTATGTAATCTTGATTCTATCCTTCTATTGATGCAGCCTGGGATTGCTTTGTCTTTTTTTGTGGCTGCAGCACGTTGCTAGCTCATATTTAAGTGATTGTCCACTAGGACTCAAAGATCCCTCTCATAGTTACTGCTATTCAGCCAGGTTCCACTTATTCCATACCTGTACATTTGGTCTTTCTTGCCTAAATTTAAAACCTTACTTTTCTCACCATTGAATTTCATTTCAAGTTGTTTAAAATAAACCATATTTTTTCTGATTCATTTTTGGTTGCCTGAGCAAAAATTAAGAATTGCATGGCATAATGCTATTTGTCTATCACAAACCTCACAACTTTCCACCTGCAAGGGCCTTCAAATAGCTTCCTTGGTCTTTATAACTACCATTTCTCAAAAATCTTAAATACTATACTATTTTGGTGACAGTTGTTCTCTTCTCTAAGATTGTTCACTTTATCCCCTGCTTTGGCTTCTCATATGCACTTTAAACAGGCCATCTGTTAATTCAATAAGTCGCTTGAAGTAACAGATTGTTCGACCACCTGATTTGTGATAGAAGCCCACAGTTCATGGTATAATTTTGGCAGGCTCTATTTGTAGGAAATAAAAAGGTTGGCCTAGACAGGGTGAGGGAAGAGCTATTACAAAAGCAATAAAAAGGGAAACATTGCTTCAGCCAAAAGAATGAAGAAGGTATGTACACTGAAAATGTTTCTGAGAGACACTTCCATAGTTCAAAATAGGTATAAGAAAGAAAGAAGATAAAGCATAATCACATTTGCAAGATGTATGTATTTTATAGCCAGTTTGAATAAAATTACTGTAGTTGTAGCCTTAATGTGTTGATTTCTTGACCTGATCTACATCTTGTGGTTCACATTATTTCAATTACTGGAAAGCTACTATCCTTAGCCTATTGTCCACAACTAGAGAGATAAATGTTAACTATGAACTATACTTTTGTTGGAAGTGTTGACTTTCAGAAAGACGACTGGCCATTTCTTTTATGCTTGCCAAGTGTCTTTTAAAAATATGGTTAAAATTTATGTTTTAAGGTTATTTATGAATACCATCTTTTCTTTTTTCTAATAATCTTCTGGTCTTTAGCCATCACAGGAGCCTCTCATTTCCTTCAGGAGTTTCAAGCAATTCAGTAATTCTTTAACTTGCTGGACCATGCCAGGTCTTCCAACAAAATGTTTGAAGAAGACCTTCCACTGCTGTGAAACATTGTATTTAGCAGCCACCTCTCTAGATACCCCAGAAGTTCCTGGTAAGCCCATGGAAAAGGCAGGAAGTAGCAATGGTGGATTTAAGCTGAAGAGGATGGCTTTATTTGCGATGATATTTCCAGGGGTAATCCACTAATTTCAGTCACTTCATTCTAAGACGGCAACAATTATACTTGTTTAGCCCTGTGGGAGTCACGTGTCTAAGTACCCTCGGTTGAGATCAGGTCAGATAACAGAAGATGCCTAATGCTAAAGATATTTTCCTCTGTGCTTGTGGTCTACTGTCATTGCTTCTGTTAAAAGTATGTCATTAATACAGGAACCAGCCAAATGAAATAGGGAGCAGTCATCCCAGTTGGTCCCCAGTATCCATTATAGCTGGCAGCACACCTTGTAATTTCTTGTTGCCACTGTTTAGTTTTTTAAAAGTGTAAAAGTTCATCATGTCTATCCTCACTCTCTTATTGACTCAAAGTTCTTGTTTATCCAGAGGGAACTAATCCTGCTCCTACAGTTATCTTAGAATACTTTCAGTTTCATCTGGTGTGGCTGGATATCTTTGTTATGCATTGGACCTTCAGAAGATCAGTTTAAACATTTCAGCCATTAGTTCAAATTCAAAGATACAGTAATAGTGATGAATTAAATATCTTGTGATATCCTACAGATCAGTATCAGCTTATTGTTCATCTCAGTACACATTACCATAAGCTAGGTTTGGAACATTCCAAAAGAAGATATTCTATCTTTGAATACAAAAAAAAATATCTTAAAAGTAATTTCTGTAACTGTGGAGTATTTAATGTATTTTAAAGATGCTCCTCCCTGTAACACCTGGAGAGAGCCATCTGAATATTTATTTATTATTTATTTATTATTTCAATTTATATCCCGCCCTTCTCCCGAAGGACTCAGGGCGGCTCACAACATTATTAAAACAAAGAAAGACCCACACACCCCACCGAATAAAACCAAATTAAAACCAAAATTTTTATGTTGTGATAATTAAAATTTCTAAAAAACCCAGTTTAAAAATCCTCCCTAGGCCAGGCNTTCAAATAGCTTCCTTGGTCTTTATAACTACCATTTCTCAAAAATCTTAAATACTATACTATTTTGGTGACAGTTGTTCTCTTCTCTAAGATTGTTCACTTTATCCCCTGCTTTGGCTTCTCATATGCACTTTAAACAGGCCATCTGTTAATTCAATAAGTCGCTTGAAGTAACAGATTGTTCGACCACCTGATTTGTGCCAGAAGCCCACAGTTCATGGTATAATTTTGGCAGGCTCTATTTGTAGGAAATAAAAAGGTTGGCCTAGACAGGGTGAGGGAAGAGCTATTACAAAAGCAATAAAAAGGGAAACATTGCTTCAGCCAAAAGAATGAAGAAGGTATGTACACTGAAAATGTTTCTGAGAGACACTTCCATAGTTCAAAATAGGTATAAGAAAGAAAGAAGATAAAGCATAATCACATTTGCAAGATGTATGTATTTTATAGCCAGTTTGAATAAAATTACTGTAGTTGTAGCCTTAATGTGTTGATTTCTTGACCTGATCTACATCTTGTGGTTCACATCATTTCAATTACTGGAAAGCTACTATCCTTAGCCTATTGTCCACAACTAGAGAGATAAATGTTAACTATGAACTATACTTTTGTTGGAAGTGTTGACTTTCAGAAAGACGACTGGCCATTTCTTTTATGCTTGCCAAGTGTCTTTTAAAAATATGGTTAAAATTTATGTTT